AGAGCTCCCCATGTGAGAGCACAATGACCACCAAAGGGCAGCTCCTTCATTGAGCGTCTGCCCCCTGGTGGTCAGTGTGTGTCATAGTGGCCAGTCATTCCCAGTCTTTGTGCTGTTAGGGTCAGTTTGCATATTACCCTTTTACTATATAGGATAGAGGCCTGGTGCATGGGTGGGGGCCGGCTGGTTTGCCCTGAATGGTGTCCTGGATGAGGGTGGGGGTCCCGCTTGGGTGCCTGGCCAGCCTGGGTGAGGGGCTGATGGCTGTTTGCAGGCTGCCTGCACCCCCTTTAGGGTGGGGGTCCCAACTGGGGTGCCTGGCCAGCCTGGATGAGGAGCTGATGGCTGTTTTCAGGCTGCCCGCACTTCCTTTAGGGTGGGGGTCCCCACTGGGGTGCCTGGCCAGCTTGGATGAGGGGCTGAGGGCTGTTTTCAGGCTGCCCACACCCCTTTCAGGATGAGGGGTCCCCACTGGGATGTCTGGCCAGCCTGGATGAGGGGCTGAGGGCTGTTTTCAGGCAGGCCAAGCCTGCAACTGAAGCTCCCAATCTCTCCTTTTTTTCTTTTTTATTCTGGAATTTATTTACCTTCTGTAATTGAAACTTTGTTGCGGCTCCAGCTTTGAGGCCGGATGGCTGAAAGCAGGTATCTGGGGTTTGTTTAGCTTCTAAAATTGCAACATTGTTGCTTAGACTGGAGCTCAGAGCCGGGCTGCGGCAGGCGGGGAACCTTGGCTTCCTCCATCACTGAAGCAAGCAAGCCTCCTGTTCACTTCAGCTGTCTGGCTGCCAGCCACCATCTTGGTTGGCAGTTAGTTTGCATATCGCCCTGATTAGCCAATGGGAAGCGTAGCGGAGGTATGGTTAATTACCATGTTTGTCTATTATTAGATAGAACTAGAGGCCTGGTGCACAGATTCGTGCACTGGTGGGGTCCCTTGGCCTGGCCTGTGGGGATCAGGCTAAACCTCTAAAATCCTCCAAGGGGTTCTGCATTGCCAGAGGGTACAGGTCAGGCTGAAAGACCCCACGGGTGCACTATCAGGGCTGGAGAGGGACTGCAGGGAGGACTCCAGGGCGTGTCTGGCCCATCTCGCCCAGTCCCGGTCAGCCGGACCCCTGCAGCAAGCCGACCTACTGGGTGGAGCGTCTGCCCCCTAGTGGTCAGTACATGTCATAGCGACTGGTCGAACGAACAGTAGGACACTTAGCATATTAGGCTTTTATTATATAGGATAGACTAGAGGTCGGTGCACGAAATTCGTGCACAGGGGTGGGTCCCCACAGCCCAGCCTGCACCCTCTCCAATCCAGGACCCTACGGGATTGGGCCTAAATCGGCAATCAGACATCCTTCTCACAATCGCTCACTTACCTGCCTGCCTGATTGCCCCTACTGCCCCCCCCCTGCTGACCTGGTCACCCCTAACTGCCTCTGCCTGCTGGGCCTGATCACCCACAACTGCCCCCCATTGCAGCCTAGTTGCTCTCACTGCCCCCGCTGCTGGCATGATCGCCCCCAACTGTCCCCCCTTGCCGGCCTGGTCGCCCCCAACTACCCCCCCACCAACCTGGTCGCCCCATGCAGCCTGCTGTTCAGTCATTTGGTCGTCCCTCACTGCACCCCTGCTGGCCTGGTTGCCCCACGCAGCCTGCTGTACAGTCGTCCGTCCGGTTGTTTCGGTCATGACGGCTCCTGACTTTATATATATGGATAAAGAACTCATAGGAAGAGAAACTAAAAAAACAATCCCATTTACCATTGCAACAAAAAATTAAGATACCTAGGAATAAATTTGACCAAGGAGGTAAAGGACCTGTAATCAGAAAATTACAGGATGCTGAAAAAAGAGATAGAGGAAGACATAAACAAATGGAAGAATATACCATGTTCATGAATTGGTAGAATCAACATCATTAAAATGTCCATTCTACCCAAAGCAATCTATAGATTCAATGCACTCTGCATTAAAATACCAACAGCATATTTCAAAGACCTAGAACAAACTCTCTAAAAATTCATCTAGAGTAAAAAAAGACCCCAAATAGCTGCAGCAATCCTGAGAAAGAAGAATAATGTTGGAGGGCTCACAATACCACATATCAAGCTATATTACAAAGCCACTGTTCTCAAAACGGCCTGGTACTGGCACAAGAACAGACAAATAGACCAATGGAATAGAATAGAGAACCCAGAAATTGACCCAAACCATTATGCTCAATTAATATTTGACAAAGGAGGCAAGAGCATACAATGGAGTCAAGACAGTCTCTTCAATAAATGGTGTTGTGAAAATTGGATACATGCAAAGAAATGAAACTAGACCACCAACTTACACCATATACAAAAATAAAATGGATCAACGACTTAAACGTAAGACGGGAAACCATAAGAAACTTAGAAGCCATAGTCAGCAAAATAGCAGACATATGTTGTAAAAATATCTTTACTGATACAGCTCCTAAGGCAATGGAAACTAAAGAGAAAATAAACAAATAAAATAAAAAATAAAAAGCTCCTGCACAGCAAAAGAAACCATCAAGAAGCCCACTACATGGGAGAACATATTTGTCAATGTTATCTCCGATAAGGGTTTAATCTCCAACATTTACAGGGAACTCATACAACTTAACAAAAGGAAGATAAAGAACCCAATCAAAAAATGGGCAATGGGCCTAAATAGACACTTTTCAAAAGAGGACATACAGAAGGCCAAGAGACATATGAAAACATGCTCAAAATCACTAATCACCCGAGAGATGCAAATCAAAACGACAATGAGGTACCATCTCACACCTGTTAGAAAGGCTATCATCAACAAATCAACAAATGACAAGTGCTGGCGAGGATGCAGAGAAAAGGAACCCTGGTGAACTGCTGGTGGAAATGCAGACTGGTGTAGCCACTGTGGAGAACAGTATGGAGTTTCCTCAAAAAATTAAAAATGGAACATCCAGTTGACGCAGTAATCCCACTTCTAGGAATGTATCCCAAGAAAACAGAACACCAATCAGAAAGGATATATGTACCCCTATGTTCATTTGGAAACAGCCTAAGTGCCCATCAGCAGATGAGTGGATTAAAAAACTGTGATACATCTACACAATGGAATACTACGCTACTGTAAAAAAGGAATTCTTACCATTTGCAACAGCATGGATGGAACTGGAGAACATTATGCTAAGTGAAGTAAGCCAGTCAGAGAAAGATAAATATCACATGATCTCACTTATTTATGGAATATAATGAACAACATAAACTGATGAACAAAAATAGATCCAGAGACAGAGAAGCATTGAATACAGTGTCCAACCTATGAGGGAAGGCGGGAGGTCCGGGTACGAGATCAACCAAAGGACTTATATGCATGCATATGAGCATAACCAATGGACACAGAAGGGGAGGAAGCGTGGCCAGGGAGAGATCAATGGGGGGGAAAGGAGACTTATGCAATACTTTAAATACCCACTCTAACCTCTAGTTGAAGTCAGTTACTTCCCTTAAACAAAAAGTAAGGCTTAGAAGAGTATTCTTTAAAGAATAATGAAGTAAGCAAAACATTTTTAATTAGAGCCAATAATTGACCTTTGCTTTAATGCCAGTGAATCCAGTGCATTTGCTCTAATTTTGACATAGCTAGTGCAAAAAGACACTAATTTTTAAATTCTGAGTTGTTTAATTTTATTTATTTTTTAAAGAAATATTTTTATTGATTTTTAGATAGGAAGGGAGAGGGAGAGAAACTTCGATGTGAGAGTGTAACAACTGGCTGCCATCTGCAAACTTCCTACGGAGAAAGCCTACAAACCAGGCATGTGGCCTGACCAGTAAGCAATTTAATCTAATCAGCTGACCCAATCAACACAATCCAATTGGACTGAGTGAACAGCTTAATCCAATCAACTGATCCAATCAACGTGTTCTGATCAATCCTCATTCACTCAATTGTCTCTCATCTCTCATTTCTCTCCTCATTCTCTCATAAAGGAACAGAAGGATACCAGATTTCAAAATGATTCCAAGATGTTCATAATGGAGGAAAAAGATAAATTATGTGAATCGGACAAGGTTGGATATTATCCACATTGTATTTTAGGTTTCATAGTGAGAAAAAGCCAGAAAAGAGCCTCTTACACTAGCAACCATAGTGTGATTGGAAGGTAAGTACTATCACCATATTCCCAAATAATGTTCATCACCTATTTGCTCATCACATTTACACTTTCAACCCTGCAGCCACCACTTATAAAGCAAAGAACATTTCAGCTACTGAAAACCCAAGGCTATAATACTTTCTGAGCAACTTTTGAGTCTAAAATTGGAATACTTGATGAGTACCAGTTAACAGAATAGGAGCATAGGTGATCACACACCAAAAGTACCAGACACTGTTGAAAATTTTACTTCTTACTGTCTTCATCACAGTAACATGATTCGGCAAAGTAACAGGATCCTGTTTCCTATACTGGCAAACAAAATATTTCTTAAAACTATTTAACAAAATGAAGAACAAGAGTAGATAAAAACCAAAGGAAATTCAATTCTTGAAAGAAGGAAACCACACTGGGTAAGATCTATGGTATATCTTGAATAAATATACTGCTAAATTCAAAGTGTGATGTTGACTGCATACAGGTTCAAAAATAACAGCCACAAATGATACAGTGGAAAGAAGTTAGAAAAGGTGAATGACAACTGGATATTAAACATTACTGTTAATTTTCTTTGGTGTGATAATGGTATTTTGGTTATATAGGAGTAGTGTGGTTACTTTTAAGAAACACATATTAAATTGTATTTAAGGTGTAGTAAAGTCATGGTGCCTGCAAATTACTTTCAAGCAGTTCAGCAAAAACACTACCACAAACAAAGCAAATACAGCAACATTTTATTACAGAACATAGGGAGTGGTTATATGGGTGATCACTGTACTATTCTTCAATTTTCATAATAAAAATTCTCACAATAAAAGCTTGAATTTGGGGGGAGGAGTGTACTTACGAGCATTCCTCAAAGACTTTGACCCTTTCACAGCCCTCTGGAGGTTCCCTTTTGAACATATAACTGTTGTTGGGTTTTGGTGAAGTTGCATATTTGGGCAAAGGAGAGTTGTTCCCATTCTCTGCAATAAACAACATGCTGGATTACTAAGAAATGCTACTACATAAATGCTTAGTCATACTGTAATAAATTTTTCTTGTGTCCCCCTCCCCACCCCCCATGAGCCACTTGAGGATAGAAACAGTGTTTTACTCATCAACACCAACCCAATATCTAATTCCTGGTAAAGAGAAGAGAATGTTCGTTAAATAAATGCATAAACAAATCAAAGATTTTTATGTCTTTTTCACTTATAATCACCACCTCCTAGGCCCGTCTCTGATTTATTTTTATTCCATACACAGCACACAGACTCCAATCGCACTACCATTCTTTCCAGTACAAGTAACTGTTTGCTTATCATGCTCTCCTGTGCTACCCTTCAGAATTTCTCAGTTGATTTCTCGGCTCCTCCAGTTACCATCTCTGCTCCAGGAAGGCAGAGCCATCTGCACTGTCCTTTTGCCTATGAACTTCTCCATGCCTAAGAGATTTTCCTCTGCTGATTTCCCACAACTGCCTTCAAAGTCTGGCTCAAAGTTTTTAAAACCTTTCCAAATTAATTATATCAAAGGGAACACTTCTTACTTTGGTATTCCTGTTCAGTGCTGATGTCCTCGGTTTATACGTATTAACTTAAAATTTCTTGATACGTTACGTAAGTGTTCTGAGTTTTCAGCTTGTGTTCGCTAAGCTACAAATTCCTTGCCAAGAGTAGCACAGTGGCTCTGTTTTCTTACAAAAGAAATTCAGAGTAGCTAGTCAGTCACTAATCTCCTAAAACCAAATGCAGCAGGACACAAACTTTATGACATGCTGCTAAAGGGCAGATTTTAATGGCCACGACTTTTTAAATGTTGGAGGGTACATTTGATTGAGCCTAAGTACCAAGAGTTAGCTAAATGGTTTGCATTCACTACCTCATTTAATCCTCACAATAAACATAAGAATTATTATGCAGATTCCTGACAAGAAACACATGGCCCAATCAAGGGACTTAACTGAGTGGGTGTCAAGCTTGTGTGCACATTGGAATCACGGAGCATCTCCTAGTGCCTATTCCTACAACCCCCAGGGGCTGTGATTTAATTGGTCTGGGTGTTGGCCTGGAACAGTCATACTTTATTTAACCTAGAAGCTGGCATAAAAGGCTTCAAATAATAACATTTTACAATGGCCCATAGTTTGAAGTGACTTCTTCAGAAAACCTTATGTCCTCTGCACGTCTCAATAAGTTAAGTGTTTGGTAGTAACAGTCAGCTGTAACAATGAAACATTTTAGGATGTTCAACACACTGTATGAGGTCCTAAATAAATGACTACTGAACTGAGCTGTAGAATCCTATTAATAAAAGCTTAATATGCAAATTGTCCCCTCGGGCGATCCTTCAACCAGGAGACCGGGAGTTCGACCGCTCGCTGACGTGCACTGACCACCAGGGGGTGGCATGGAACATAGTGGGTGTCAGCGCTGCTGGCCCCAAAGGGCTCTGACGAGAGTGGGACCATGGTGGGATGGTGGAGCAAGTGAGCAGGCGGCACCAGGCCAAGGCAGGTGCGAGTAGGGGTCCGATCACCCCGCTGATCGCCCCACAGATGGCAACCAGCGGCAGCAGAGGGGGCCGGGCCCCAACCAATCACCCCACAGATGGCAACCGGCAGCAGCACGGGGCGGGGGGGGGGGGGGGAGGTATGGGGCTCCAGCACCAATTGATCACCCACAGGCGGGATGGTGGAGCAGATGAGGGGATGGTGTCAGGCCAAGGTGGATGCCAGGCGGCTGCAAGGTTGGGGGTGTGAGCTGGGGCCCTATCTCCGCAGACCAAAATATTGCCCTGATACAGACTTACGAAAGGTCCTATTTGTTTTAAAAGGTAAGAATACTAGTAATTAATATTCAAATTGCTTAGGTCACCACGTTATTTTTCAAGTTGCATAAGTAGTTTAATACTGTAAGTAGCCCTCCAGGCTTCCCTTGAATAGTCATTTTGCATGATATAAATCAGCTCTACTCCTTCTAGAAATATCACAAGTATAGATCCTAAAAAACACTAACTTAAAGGTTTCACATTTAATTAAAAAGTAGTGGGTAGCCGAAACCGGTTTGGCTCAGTGGATAGAGCGTCGGCCTGCGGACTGAAAGGTCCCAGGTTCGATTCCGGTCAGGGGCATGTACCTGGGTTGTGGGCACATCCCCAGTGGGAGATGTGCAGGAGGCAGCTGATCGATGTTTCTCTCTCATCGATGTTTCTAACTCTCTATCTCTCTCCCTTCCTCTCTGTAAAAAATCAGTAAAATATATTAAAAAAAAAAGTAGTGGGTAGTAAAAACATTACTACTAAACGACAGAGAATAAAGGGCTCTTCAAGACCAATGTTCATCTCATTTATACCCAAAAGAATGTTTCTCACTAATAAGACACTTGTATTAATAAGCACAAAGAAGAAAAAAAAAAGAATAAAAACCCATAAACTCACCCAACTTGACCATCAACGAACACACCACAATAAAACCTGTTTTGTACTCCAATTTTTAAAAATCTGTTTTGAAACACCTCAAACTAATTACCTTAGTGCAGCTTTAAGTGTGTGTGTTCTGCTAGAAAATAGAATAAATGGTAACATAGGTGGTATTGCCTTATCATCCAGTGGTAAATTCCTCCTGTACTGTACCTTTATCTCTGGGATCAACGAGCAGGTCATCAGCTGAACAAGGGCTCTCTTCGCTGCCTTCATTGGAGATGGTGAGGAATGACGCGGGGGACACAGACTGGGAGCGGCTGCTGTTGTTGCTCCCCCTGTCTGCCCCAGCAGGAGTCTGCGTGTCGATGCTGCGTGTGCTGCTACTTCTCTGTACAAGGGGAGGAGGTGCACGATGGCCATCTGGAATATCTTGTGGCTGTTATAAAAGTTGTAAAAATATGCGTATTTATCACTGATTTTGAAACTCAGCCAGAAATGCGCCCAATATTGACCTTCCCCTGTGGTTCCAGAAGACCTAGTCAGAAATCCCCTACTTATGAGCCTAATGAGAAAGAAGCCTTTGTGTTGCTCCATTAGTGACATCCCGGCCTAATCTGACTCCCCCACTGGACACTGAGCAGCCTGGGCAGACTCTCTTTCCAGGAACTGGCACCTGACAGGTGGCCAATGCTTACTGAATGACCAATTAAAGTTACTTACCATGTGCTAAATAGTATTTAAAATTTATGAAGAGGGGCCATGGTAAAATGAGAATTCTAGGTGTAACACTCAATTCCATTATTAGAAGAAAAGGTTATCCATTGTGGGAACTTCAGATACCTGATGTTAGGCCGTTACCTTCTCCCCCTGCCAATTCTGAGTTTTTTCAAAGAAACTCTGCTACATGAAGAAAAAGTTCATCACAACAGTGCTAATTATAGGGGGGAATCAAGGGGAACAATTCTAAAAAGCTTGTGGGGCTCACTTTTGAGGGAAACCAGGAACGTGTTTACCTGTGCCTCGTTGACATTTATTACATGAGGGAAAGTTTCCCTACCATGCAGCATGGAGAAGAGGGTGTGAGGAGTTGTGTTTTCTCTAATCTAAACGAACCTTTAATCTTAAGCATCAATGAAATACTACTTAAAACTCTTCAATTCATTCACTGAAGAAAAAAGCTTAGTATACTCTGTGACATGGTTTTAAATACAAACAGGAAATTTTCTGTCTTACATATGAGTCATTCTTATGTGTATTAAAGTTGGTAGAAGAGTACACAGTCTTCTGTGCATGATAGGTAAGAACTACACTTCATGATGTTCTCATTAACCTTTGAAATAGTAAGTGACAAACAATAAACAGGTAGCCCTGGCCAGATGGCTTGGTTGGAGCATTGTAGTGCATCAAAAGTTTATGCACTGGATCGACTCCGGGTCAGGGCACGTACCTAGGTTGTGGGTTTGATCCCCAGTCCGCGTGCATATGGGAGGCAACTGATCAATGTTTCTCTCTCTCTCAACCTTTCTCTCTCTCTCTCTCTCTCTCTCTCTCTCTCTCAACATATCCTAGAGTATTTAAAAAAAGAAGAAACAGTTCACGTTTAGAATTTGATGTCATATCCCTCTCTCCCCAACAAATTAGTAGCCTAATCTTTTCTTAAATGGAGTTATAATAATTAGAATTATAATAATTAGAATTATACCATCTGTCTGGTGCTTTTCAAAAACAGATAAATAAAAAATAGCTTCTGTTCAAGGATCCAAATTTAAGTCATATCAGTTGTCTCTATGACATGCAAAGAAATGAAAACTTTCACTCACTTAGTTTTTCAAAAGATAAAAATTGTCATTTTCTCTCAACAAGAAGGAAGAAACCTAAGTAAATATGAAAAACAAAATCATAAATTTTTTAATAGGTAGAAGAGTTAATGAGTAAGGATTACTTACTATAAGTTGTTCTTCCTTTTCCCCTGTCTCTTTAATTATTATTTCAATCTCCTGATTCAATCCTTCCACACTGTTCCGGAACCGGGAGCCTGTTGATTTGGTGATGGGAACTGCTGGAATAAGAGTACTCTTTGGAACAGGAGCCTTGAGAAGAGGAAATAAAGCAGGGAGAAGAGAGGTTTAACACTCATTTGAAACATACTTTTAGAGAGGAAAAAATGGCGGAGGTTTAGACGGACGTGTCGGTGCTTTGTCCCAGAGCAGACAAGGGCGAGCAGCTGAAACGGGTAACATACAGCCCAAATAAGCAGAGGAGATTCAGCTGAGAGACAGTCTGCTGCCAGGAAAGACAGCGAACTCCTAGAAAATGGGGACGGTTAGAGATTGAGGCTGAAACCTCCCCCTGGGCGCCGGCTCAGCCGCGAGACCGCGCCATCTTGAGTAGCTGTTATCTGCATCCAGAGATCGGCTACTAACCCGGAGGCAAGGGCTCTCAAGCAGCACAACTACATGAACTCAGAGGAGACCTGCTTCCCTCCACGGAAAGGTTAGACTTCCCCCAAAGGTGTGGTATGCAATTCAGATTGGAGCGAGGGACAAGCGCATGCCCACAAAGTCCGCGCCCGTTGAGGCCAGCGTGACCCGCAAGTGGGGAAGGGCTCCCGCAGGGCTGCTGGCAGAAGGGAACACTCTAAATAAGCCCATAGTTGGACTGGATGCAAAGGGGCAGCCTCAGATTCTGCCAGCTGGCCGGCTACTTGGTGCCAGGGGCCGGAGCGCACGCAGAGACTCCGCGCAGATATGGAAGGTGGAGCCCTGCGAGTTCACACAGGTTCCCAGGCTCGTGTTTAGACACTTCCTCTTAAATCTGTGAGTTTGATTGTTGAACCCAGTGCACGGGATTACCCAGTTGGGGTCGCTAGTAGAGCCTGTAGGGGAAGATTGTTTTGGGGGAGCCTGGGAAATAGAGCTGGGAGTGGCGACTGGGTCAGGTACAATAGAGAACTCCTGGTCAGAGAGGACTTATAGCCTCGGAGGTCAATCCAAACACACTGCCATCCAGAGGCAGAGCCACGAACTGACTCTTCTGTAAATACAGATATAGGCAGTATGGGGAACCAATACGGCCTGCCTTAAAATCAGGACTGTGGCTTACAACACAGAGGAACAGAGTATCAGAGGGAAATTCAACATTCTCCTGAATTCCAGGCGTGCCAAAAAGAAGAGTAGAAGATCTGAAGCACCTGCATTACTGCACATTTTTATTTTTATTTTTTTAAATTATTTGTTCACCTTTTAAGAAACCATTTTTTTCTTTTTTTTCTTTTCTTTTTTTTTCCCCATCACCTGATTTTACCCTTTCAATTACTACATTTTTATTTTTAACTAGTATTATTACTGCTACCATTTTACCATTTTTTAAAGTGTCATTTTATTTTGTCTTTATTTTATTTTGGGACTAATGTTCTCCATTTATTTTCATCGTTCCTTTAGCAACATTTTTCTCTACCTCAATTTTGCCTCTGTGCTAAAACCCTCTTCCCCACTTTTTCACTTTTGTTGTCCTGTTTCTCTTACCCTACTCCAGCTTTAGATTTTCCCTATTCTTTTTACTCCCTGTCAAAATTTCACCCTACTTATATATCCTATGTCCAATCCCCTGCTCTAAATCCTTATACACCTTTCCCTTATCTTCCTTCACTATCCAAATTTTTTCTTCTTCTTCTTCTTTTCTCTCTCTATTGTTTTATTGTTGTTTGCTTGATTGTCGAGTATATTGGGGGTTTTTTTTTAGGATTGTTTGTGAGGTTATTCTGCTTATTCTTTTTATTTTTCTGCCCTCCCCCCCCCCCCCCCGGCTATTTTCTGTGCTTCTGTTTTCCCTTGCGTCACTTGATATTATTGGTTGTTTGTAGTTTGTATTCATCTCCAGGAATCTGTTGCTGTAATTTGTTGGGATTAGTGGCGGTTCTATAGGAGTTTTCTCCTCATATAAATAGTCTCCTCCCCTCTTCTACTTCATTCTCTTTTCTCTCTTTTTTTTTTCTTCTTCTTTTTTCCCCTCCCTTTTTCCAATTTCATTTTTGCACTCCTTTTTTTTCTTTCTTTCTTTTTTCTCTTCTATCTTTTTCTCTTCTTTCTTCCTTATCTCCTAACTCTCTTAGCTCGGGTGGCCACCTTTATTTGGGGTTATTAATATCGTAAATACATTCGTGTTCAGTGCCTGGTACGTTGTGCCTTGTTGTGTTGTATTTTGTGCCTTTAAATCAACGCAGCAGATTCAAGCAACAGCGGCCTCCTGATCACCACACGCTCTGTCTGGGGAACACTTACTGTGTGTGAAGCCTCCCTCCACCAGCCAGAAGAGCCACCACAGCTGTGAACAGCACCCACCAGAGGCCCTGCTACCAACGGAGGAGCAGCTGCTACCACAACCGCCCAAGGAGCAACCACAGCCCGAGGAGTCACTGCCACCCAGGGAGCAGCCACTGCCACCCAGGGAGCAGCCACTGCCACCCAGGGAGCAGCCACTGAACAACTCAACAACTAGATGTCAGTGAGATCAAACATGGGTAGACAAAGAAACCCCCAAAGGAAAGAAAAGGAGGACTCGCCAGAAAAGCAGCTAAGTGAGACAGAGGCATGCAACATGACGGAAAAAGAATTCAGAATAAGGGTCCTAGAGTACATGCACCGGACGGAGGAAAAAATCAATACCATATGCAAGAAGCTAGAAGAAACAGATGAAAAAATCAACAACTTAAGTAAGTCCCAAGAAGAAATGAAGAGCGATATAGCTGCAATAAAAAACACCATTGAAAGTATAAACAGTAGAATAGGAGAAGTGGAGGACCGAATTAATGAATTAGAAGACAAGGAAGCAAAACACACTCAAACTGTACTGCAATTGGAGAAAAAAATTAAGACAGGAGGAGAGCCTAAGGGAGCTTTGGGACAACATGAAACGAAACAACATACGAATAATAGGGGTGCCAGAACAACAGAAAGATGAACATGGATTAGAAAACCTATTCGAAGAAATAATATCAGAAAACTTCCCTGAGGTGGGGAAGAAAAAAGTCACACAAGCCCAGAGAGTCCCAAACAAGGTGAACCCAAAAAGACCCACAACAAGACACATCATAATTACCATGGCAAATGTTCAGGACAAAGAGAGAATCTTACAGGCTGCAAGAGAGATACGGAAAGTTACATACAAGGGATCTCCCATTAGATTATCAAATGATTTCTCAACAGAAACACATCAGGCCAGAAAAGAATGGACGGAAATTTACAAAGTGATGCAAAGCAAAGGACTGAATCCAAGAATACTCTATCCAGCAAGGCTATCATTCACAATTGAAGGGGAAATAAGAAGCTTCACAGACAAAAAAAGGCTGAGGGAGTTTATCACCACCAAGCCAGCCATGCAAGAAATGCTAAAGGGACTGGTGTAAAAAGAAGAAATAAAAAGCTCAGAAAGAAAACAGCCACACACAAAAAAAGAAATGGCTACAAACAAGTACCTTTCAATAATAACTTTAAACGTAAACGGACTAAATGCTCCAACCAAAAGACATCGAGTGGCTGAATGGATAAAAAAACATGACCCATACATCTGCTGTCTACAAGAGACCCACCTCATTAGAAGGGACTCACACAGACTGAAAGTGAAGGGATGGAAAAATATCTTTCAGGCAAATGGAAAGGAAAAGAAAGCTGGGGTAGCAATACTTATATCGGACAAAATACATCTCAAAGTGAAGGCCATAACAAAAGATAAGGAAGGCCACTTCATAATACTAAAGGGATCAATACAACAAGAAGATATAACCCTGGTAAACATATATGCACCCAATGCAGGAGCACCCAAATTCATAAAAAATCTCCTGGAAGATATCAAAGGAGAGATCGACAACAATACAATCATAGTAGGGGACTTTAATACACCACTGACATCACTGGATAAGTCCTCTAGACAAACAATCAGCAAAGAAACAGCAATCCTAAATGACTCACTAGATCAGATGGACTTAATTGACATCTTCAGAACACTTCACCCCAAAGCCATGGAATATACATTCCTCTCAGGTGCTCATGGGACATATTCAAAAACAGACCACATATTGGGTCACAAGCAAAGCCTCCACAAATTCAAGAAGATTGAAATCATAAAAAGCATCTTCTCAGACCACGATGGCATAATGTTAGAAATAAACTACAATAAAAACAACCCAAAATACTCAAACACTTGGTGGCTGAATAGCATGTTATTAAATATTGATTGGGTTACCAATGAGATCAAAGAAGAAATTAAAAACATCCTGGACACTAATGACAATGAAAACACAACAATCCAAAACCTCTGGGACACAATGAAAGCAGTCCTGAGAGGAAAGTTTATAGCTCTACAGGCCTATCTCAACAAACAAGAAAAAATGATAGTAAATCATCTAACTCTACAACTCAAAGAATTAGAAAGAGAGCAACAAGAAAAGCCCAGAGTGAGCAGAAGGAAGGAGATAATAAAGATTAGAGCAGAAATAAATGACATAGAGACCAAAAAAACAATACAGAAAATCAATGAAACCAAGAGCTGGTTCTTTGAAAGGATAAACAAGATTGACAAACCTCTAGCCAGGCTGACCAAGAAGCAGAGAGAGGACCCAAATAAACCAAATCAGAAACGATAGAGGCGAAATAACAACAGACCCCACAGAAATACAAATGATTGTTAAACAATACTATGGACAACTCTACTCCAACAAACTAGACAACCTGGAGGAAATGGACAAATTCCTAGAAAAATACAACATTCCAGCACTCAATCAGGAAGAATCTAAAAATCTCAATAGGCCAATAACTATGGAAGAAATTGAAGCAGTCATCAAAAAGCTTCCAGCAAACAAAAGCCCAGGACCAGACGGCTTCACAGGGGAGTTTTACCAAACATTCAAGGAAGAACTAAAACCTATCCTCCTCAGACTACTACAAAAAATTCAAGAGGAAGGAACACTTCCAAGCTCATTCTATGAAGCCAGCATCACCCTAATACCAAAACCAGGTAAAGACAACACAATGAAAGAGAATTACAGGCAAATATCCCTCATGAACATAGATGCCAAAATCCTCAACAAAATCTT